CCTCAATAACAGAGGTAAGGGCCCACTTAGCTTTTCAACAGCCACAGATAGTCTGGCTCCAGCATCTATCAGTCTGATGTGTGGGAGTCACACAGCCCTAGGTTTACACATCAGCTCTTCCACACAGAAGCTGTGCCGTAAACATAGCTACACACGGAGGTGTCAGGTGCAGTGGCTTCACAGGGTAAACACTGGACTGTGAACCACAAGACTGGCAGTTCAAACCCACCAGCCGCTACATTAAAGAGAGATGAGGCTTTCTGCTCCTGCAAAAAGACTTAAAGCCTCGGAAACCCTATTACAGGGGCGCTAAGAGTTGAACTGACTGTGTGGCACTTAACAACAACAGGAGCTATGCTAGACACTGTACATTGGACCCTTATAACCACCACACTGGTGTTAAATCCATTTTTTAGAAGGGGAAATGAAGACTTAGTAGGGTTAGGTAATTTGCCTAGGGTTTTCAACTAGTGAAGGAACAGATCCCCGATGTGGAGCCAGACTGAGTTCTGTTCAATTGCTTTGAGCAGGGCAGCTGACCCTTGCATAACTCCATTTTCTTACTCATAAAGCAAGATTCATAGTAATTGCCACCTGAGTTTCTTGTGAAGGTTCACGGAAATTATACTGACTAGCTCAAGATCAGTTTAGAATTTGTGTCAATCAAGTGCTGGGAGAGCTCGAAGATACATTGGCAAGGAAAGCGCTCAGGCCGAGGGACCGCACGCATTGAGCTAAAGAGAATGAAACCCTGTCCCGGGCTATTTATTTTGGTATAGCAGAGCAGAGAGAGGCAGGCTGTGAAAGGTAAGAACTGCCAAAGCCAACCTCAAAAAAAAACGTGCCAAGAAAAATGCAAAATGTGGAAGCACCGTCTTTAAGAACACAAATTTAAGCCGCAGTATTAAAATAATAATAATATTAACCTCCTCTCTGAGCTGGAGCAGTCTGGTTTACAGCAATGAAGACCAATACCAGTTTTGACACAGTGAAACAAAAAAGTAGATTCAGAGTAAATCTCACGGCAAAAGGAAAGACAAAATATAAATTACTTTTATCCTTGCATGGATTCTAATAAGTTACCCATAACAAAGGGCGACTGAAGCTGATTTTTATCAACTAAATGAAATACAGAAAGTTCATATAAACTGAAAGACACAAAGAATAAAATAGTCTAAAGATGGGTGAGGGAGAGGAAGAGGAAGAGGAAGATGGGCTTAAAAAATAGCTGAAAGGCTGATATAAAAGTATAACCCATTTTGTAACAAAAAGCAGGGAGTAGTTAATCTTACAATCCAGAAACAGGACCATATGACCATCAAGGGAGAAGAGCACAAGCGTAATGTGAGATCTTATCCAGAGAAGCCTCGACACCAGAGATGAATGCAGAGATAAGGACATGGAGAGAGGGAGCAGCTGAGGACTCTAGATTCATGGGAAGAGAGGGACTGAGCGCTGGCGGCCAGGAGGCAGACTTACAGAATGTGCCCTTTGGTTGTTTAAATTATTATACATTCCTGAGTGTTTTTGTGCTTATTCCAAAAAAAAAACCAGAGGGAATAGAAGCAAATATTGTTGAATTATGATACATAGAGGAGATTGTAATCATTGCAATGAAACGATGGTGTAAAACCCATATTCTCCGATGTAAACTATCACTCAATTCACAATAATAAAAAGTATATCGCAAAGTAAATAACAAAGAGTAGAATTCGATGAAATTGCAAACAGGTTAAACAATAGAAAATAAGAATTTCATTTTTTAAAGCCATCAATAAAATTGACAAGTTTCTAGTAAGATTGGCAAAGATAAAGACTGACACACAGTACAAATCTATGGGCCAATTCCTCAAAAACTTCAAACTACTGAAACTCAGCCAAGATGAAATAGATCATGTGAATAGTCCTGTAACTACTAAACTAATAAATCTATGCTATTAATAAATTGAATTTGTAATTAAAAAGCTTCCAGAAAATATCTAGTCCCACACGGTTTCACAGCAGAATTTTAGTAAACATTAAAGGAAAAAAGAAAGAATACCAACTTCACACACACTCTACCAGGAGCCCTGGGAGTGTAGTGGGTTACTTGTTCGAATCTACCAGCCACTTCGCAGGAGAAAGTAGTAGCTTTCTGCTCTTGTAAAGGCTTAAAGCCTTGGAAACCCTATATAGGGTTGCTATGAGTCACAACTGAATCAACAGCACCCGACCTCCATTATCTTAATACCCAAACCAAGAAACACACACACACAGAACCCATTATAGATCAACATCTCTCATAAACTTTGGCCAAAAAAAAAAAAAAATTAGAAATTTAGAAAAAAATCCAACAACACATTATATACATATTTATTAGTTGTTAAGTGCCTTTGAGTCCGTTTCAACTCATAGCAACCCTGTATAGGGTTTCTGAGGAATGACTGGTAAGTTTTGAACCACTAACCTTGCGGTCTGGTGCTTATCCTAAATCACCACATCAAGATGCTATAAATAGATTAAATGAAAATCAGAATTATGTAAGAGTCAGAGACTGCAGGTGTCCCCCAAGTTGCTCACTGCCTGCCAGGGGCCCCTGGTAGATCTCAGGAAGCATGTAGTATAGCAGACCCCTCTTACCCACCACTGCAGAGCCCACAGATGTTCAGGGTGGTGGTGGTACTCAGGTGATGATCGCTGCCCACTGTCCAGCTGCCTACCCTGGGTGAGGACCTCACTCATTCTCCATCTGCCCTGTCTTGTAGCCTCATGTGATTCCCTTCTCTCTCCCAGCTTCTCATCTTCTCCCACTGACCTCCCCAGCACCTTCAGGCTTCATCTGGTCTTCTCCTGCCTGCTAACAACCTCACATTGTCCTGCCACCACCCTATCCCCTCCATGGCTAGACTGAGACCGTGCAGATGAATGGGAGAAAGCATCCCATGGCTGATGGGTCACTGTTCCACTCATGCCCAATTACTGTTGGGGTCTCTTGTATATTGTGCAGGGTGGTCCATGAAGTGCACCTGGTCTGACCAAAATCCCATGGGGTTTAGGCCACCAGAGGTGCTGTCTGAGAATATTTTTCAAAGTTGTCATAAATGCAAACTGTCAGACAACGAGATAGTCTTAAGTGAGGAGTAGGTGCAACCCACATCTAAGTGGAATTTATTTCAGTTATAGCGTAGTAGTTACGAATCGGGCTGTGAACCACAAGGTCATCAGTTCACAACTACCAGCTATTCCGTGGGAGAAAGGTGAGGCGTTCTGCTCCTGTAAAGATTTACAGCCTCAGAAACCCTGTACAGGGTCGCTATGAGTCAAAACTGACTCCACGGCACACCACCACCACCACCATACCAACATTAATCAGTTTGACTGACCAGGTCAACTGGATAAGTGAGGAAATCTTATGATCATATCAATTGATGCAGAAAAACATATTTAAAATTCAATGCCCATGACTGATAAAAACTCTCTGTATACCAACAATTGAGAGGAATGTCTTCAGCTTCATAAACAGAATCTGCAGAAACCTAGAGGAGGCATCACACGGAATCAACTTGAAGGCAGCTAGCTTAGGTTTTGGTTCAACATCATACTCAAAAATGGAATACTGGATGCTTTCCCTTTAAGACTGGGAGCAAGGTAAGGAGGCTGGCTCTCACAAAATCTTATTTAATCAAGGAAGGGACATCTCAATCATGAGAGGACGGCCAGACAAAAAATAAAGGACTACAGATTAAAAAGGAAAAAGTAAAACTCTTTGCATGTCTATGTAGAAAACACCAAGAAATCTACCCCAAACTCCTAAGAATAAGTGATTTCAGTAAGTTTGTTTGAATAGCTCTCTACTCTGGTCCACCCTTAGAGTATCTTTACTGTATTGCTACATAGAAGGCAATGCCCAGTGGCCTCAGCAATGTCTTACACCAGACAGGATCATTTTTACTAGCACTTTCGGATGTTCTGTTAAGTGCTGTCGAGTCAGTTCCGACCCATAGCGACCTTGTATAGGGTTGCCAAGGAGTGACTGGTGAGCTTGAACGGCAACCTGACATTGCAGTCCAGCGCCTTAACCCACAGGGTCACCAGGACTCCTGCACGTTCTGACAGGACGATTAAAAACTGTTTCAAAGTGAAGCACTTTTGTAGAGATGAGCAAAAGTCTCAAAACCTCTAGCTGCAATTGAGATGGTCTCTCTTTGGGCTTCCCATGCCTCTCTCTATTCCCATGCCCCCCTATTGTGTTCCTTGGAATTTCCATCACTGCTATGCAGGTGCCGGTGCCCTAAATCCAGCTGGACAGGAAACACTCAGCTCACAGAAAGACAGGAAGTAAGAGGCAGGCTCGTGGAAAGTGAGGGCTTGAACTCAATCAGGGATTGGGGCCAAAGTCTCATCTATAAAGAATGTTTCCTTGACCTCACTTTGCATAGACAGTTCTCAAGGGCAGGAAGTAGGTACCAGAATTGCTGAACCTTCAGCACAAAACACCTTATGTTAACTGACAGAGATTCGCTTGTTTGCTCAAATCTACAGGCGAAGGGCAAGACAGTCTGTATCCTGCCACCTGCCTTGAAGTTAGACAGGAGCTCATTTGCCAAATGTGTTGTGACATTCAGTGGGGACACACTGAGTCCAAAGTTTTATCCATTCAATACAGACTGAGTGATGAGCTCTGGTCTCAAAACACTCAGCCAATGGTGTCTGCCCCATGCAGCTATTTCCAAAGTCAGGGCTGTTGTTGTTGTTGTTATGTGCCGTGGAGTCGGTTCCGACTCATAGCGACCCTGGTTCAGGGTTTCTGAGGCTGTAAATCTTTACGAGAGCAGAAAGCCTCATCTTTCTCCCGCGAAACAGCTAGCAGTTTCAAACTGCTGACCATGAGATTAACAGACTGATTCAATACCACTACGCTACCAGAGAAGTTATGGTTCATCAATCCAAAATGAGCCCTCCTTCCTAGGAAACCGAGAAGGACAAGTATCTGAATGAAGACAAAGAGCTTGCCAACTTACGTGGAACTGGTCTGAGGTTGTTCAAAGGCTTCTTTGGGAATCTTAAGGCCAGGGTTTCGCTTCTTGCCTATGGGCAGGAAAGATGCAAAGAAAAAGTTAAGATCCAAATCAGGGCAGAGACCAAGGCAGAGGGAAAAGAGCTGGTCTGGGCATGAAGCTCTCCCCACTCAGAGCACCACTTCCTGCCCAGGAAGTCTGTGAGCCACAGGAGCCAACACCAAGCACCAGCAAGCAGAGCTCCCCAAGCAGACTGGAGTCACTGATGAAGACTTTGATCAGTCCAGGGTGAATTGACACATACTCCCCTCTCCTGGGAAGACCTGCTTTTCCTCCCTGGTAGTGAGTTATCTCCCCCTCCCCCCATTGCTTGTCCTTTCTCTTACACAGTGATGGAGACGGGAGAGGGTGGTGGTGACTATTTATTCATTTATTTATTCAATAACATGTTTGATGCTAGTTGCCACAGAGTTGCTTCTGATGACTTGCAGCGACCTTACATACAACAGAACAAAATGTAGCTGGAGTCTGCATTGGCTTAATGACCACGAATACATTTGAGTTCATGGTTGAGACAATTATGTAGTGAGGACTCCAACCTGGGGGGTTGGGGGTGGGCTCATCTTCCAGTACTTTATCAGACAATGTTCTCTTGTGAGTCATCCGGCTTTCAAGGGCTAATTTTCAGACACAGATCTCCACGACATCCTTTCTAGTCTGTCTTAGTCTGAAAGCTCTGCTAGGACCTGTCCACCCTGGGTGACCCTGCTGATATTTGAAGTGATGTTAGCACAGCGCAACATAACAGCATTCAAGAACCTACAGTACAATAAACTATCAGACACACAATGATGTCGTTGTCCACAGTTGTCAAGTCGGTTCTGACTCACATCATCCCTTTACAGGGATTTTTGAGGAGCAGCTGGTGACTTTGAACCACCGACTTTGCAATTCAAACAAGCTTGTGGTCCAGGGCTTATCCTACAACGACACAGTAGGGCTCTGTCAGACAGTCGGCAATAAAATACTTTATCACAGTATTTTCACTTTTGCTTAAATTGGTCTGTGAGCAACTGTAGATTTAATCAGAGAAGTAAACTTAATATACATATAATTTTTTTAACATTTTCCTGCCCTCACCACCTTAATCTGTTGTTATTGTTAAGGACCGTGAAGTCAGTTCCGACTCATAGTGACCCTGCACAGAGTTTCTGAGGCTGTAAATCTTTATGGGAGCTGAAAGCCTCATCTTTCTCCTGCAGAACGGCTGATAGTTTTGAACTGCCAACCTTGAGGTTAGCAGCCCGATCCATAGCCACTACGCTACCAGAGCTCCTTACCACCTTAATCTATCTGCTGTTAATTGACAACTCACAGAAAGACATAAACACACACAAAACCTGCTGTTCTCGAGCCGATTCTGATTTATAAGAGAAAGTAAAATTGCTGAACCCATGTTCTGAGAATGTAGATCTTTACAGGGGGAGGAGACAGCCTCCTCTTTCTCCCGTGGAGCAGCTAGTGGGTTCAAACCGCCCACCTTTTATTTAACAGCCGAGTGCTTAACCACTGCGCCACAAGGGGTCTTTCAGAGAAGGATGGATAATACTTATTTCGTTTCCCTATCCCAAAAAAGGGTTCAGATAACAGATGGGCTCATACAAAGGGGTTATCACGTCATTCAAGGTCAGATGGGAATAAAGCCCTGATATGTTCATCCCTGGACTGAAACCACCAGAGAGTTTGGCTCAAATACTTGTGTTGATGAGTCAAAAAGAACAGACTGAAAATGCCAGCTCAGGGAACAAATCAAAGGAAACAGTCTTGTTGGGCCTGAAAGTCTCCTCCTCTGTGGAGGCCCTATGTTTCTCAATGCTTGGCCAAACCCCCAAATCCAAACCCAGTGCTGTAGAGTTGACTTGGACTCCTAGAGATTCTACAGGACAGAGTAGAACTTCCCTGTAGGGTCTCCAAGGATTGCTTCAGCACCAGATCACCTGGGCTCCTTTCACGCATGGCAGAGGACGCTCACGCAGAGCTGGACAGAGGGGTCATGGCTCCCTTTTCTCAGAAATTCTGGACGTGGCAGCTGAACACATCACAGCTGACCCCAGCCCTGGAGAAGGGCCAGACACAGATTCTGGGGCTGCCAAGAAACTGAAGGAATCTAAGAACCAAACCTCCCTACAAGAAAATGACCCCCAAAGACTCTGGAAGCTTGCTCAACATCCCAGAGCTATGACCAGGTCTCCTGACACCCAAGCTGGGGTTCTTGCTACCATGCCATGAAGAAGTTTGGAGTTGACCAGAGAGAGTGAGGTGGGAGAGATAGGGACCTTGCATTTAAAGGAGCGGATGCATTTGTTCTTTGACTCACAAAGTAACCTCCAGAGTGACTTTTCATGGGACTCAGTTTCTTCGAGAGTAAAATGGGATGTGGCATTGAACCCTACCTCTTCAGATGGATAGGAGAATCAAAGGAGAGAACCCATCAGGGCACTGGCATGCTTACTTAATTAGACAAACACTCTGTACAGCCTCATTTAAGAGATAATGCATAGTCAGAATTGATCCTATTATTATGATTTGTGATTGTCAGGGTTCTGTGTCAACTCAGCTAGACCGGGATTTCCAGAAGTTTAGCAATTGGGCTGTGCTTATTCTCATGGTGATGAAACCTAACATACGCACAGTTAGCTCTATGATGAGTGGCTATGAGCAGCCAATCAACTGAAGGGATGCTTCCTTGGGGGTGTGGCCTGCTCCTAATATAATGGACACATGGGAGGGACTCTCTCTCTCTCTTCCACTGGGGATCTGAGACTCTGTACATGTAAGTCATTTACTTGAGAAGAAACTTGTCTTTATATATATACATATATATGTTTTCACTGGTTTTGCTCTTCTAGAAAACTTGGCCTAAGATATGACCCAACATAAAGTATAACTGAGTCATTCTTGTTTTTCTTTTTAATTCCTAAAAAATCTGAAACCCATCTAGATCGAGGTTACCACATTGTGAAGATTCCGGGAAAAATTTAGCTGGGCAGTAATCACCATGGGAGTCTTTTAGAACCATCTTTGCTCTAACAAAGGAGCTCCAATGGCATTGTAGGTAAACACTGAAGTGCTAACCACGAGGTCAGCAGTTCAAACCCACCAGCCCCTCTGAGGCAGAAGGATGAGGCTTTCTGTTCCCATAAAAATTTAGTCTCAGAAACCCTCTACATGGTTACTACAAATCAGAATTGATTTAACCAGCAACAAGCGCATGCTTTATGAAGGTTATTGTGGTTCAGGGGAAGAATTTCCACCTTCCATGTAGGAGACCCAGGTTCAATCTCCAATCAATGCATCTCATGTATAGCTATCACCCATCTGTCAGTGGAGGCTTGCCTGTTGCTATGATGACAAGCGGCTTATAGCAGAGCTTCCAGATGAAGATGAAGTAGAAAGAGAGGCCTGGTGATCAGCCAATGAAAACTTTATGGTACACAATGGTCCAATCCCACTGTGCCTGAGATTGCCGGAGTAGAGGACTGACTCAAAGGCAGCTAACAACAGCAACAGGTTAGTAAGTATCAAAAGGTCCCCCTTTCCTGAACCTAGAAATCAGATGACATATTAATACATGTTACCATGCTAATCACCAACAACATAGAGAATTTTACTTCTTGCCAGCGACTATGCTACAGCTCTGGTGGGCTCTGGACTGCAAACCAAAAGGTCGGTTTTCACAGCTGCTCCACAGAAGAAAAATGAATCTTTCTGCTCCCATAAAGACTCACAGCCTCAGAAACTCTATCCAGGGTCACTATGAGGTTGAACCAAATCAATGGGAATGTGTTTGGCTTTTTTGGTTGGGTATACTAAGTGCTAAGGATCCTGGGTAATACAATGGTTACGCACTTGGCTACCAACTGAAAGACTGGTGATTTAATCCCTCCAGGGGCTCATTAAAAAAAAAAAAAAAAAATCTGCTCCCCATAAAGGTTATAGCCTCGGAAACCCCATGGGGTATTTCTACCTCTCATATAGGGTTGCTATGAAACAATAGCAAAATGAGTCATAGGGTTGGCTTAACAACAAACATGCTAGCTGGATCTGATCATGAGAATTCAATGAGATCCTAATTCCTTATGGCCTAATGCCAACAATTCCCTTTCATGAGACTCCCTCAAATAAAAGGAATTGCTCTTTTCAAGGAGATGCTTGAGTGAGTAATGAAGTTCAGTTTCTCCAGATAGCCGCATGCACATCCAATTCAAGTGACTCAGAGCTTCACAGCGCTCTCAGATAAGACAAAGCAAATCTTAAGTAAAATAGATTTTACCTGTGAAGACAGCTCCCTAAGTTGCCATTTAAACAAACCCGGTGCAAAAGTTGCTACTCAGAAATGCCTACACCTCTCTCTTCTTCATTTCTAACTCTGGCCATCTCTTGTGAGATAGCAGGTGGCAGAAGGATTTGTTGAGAAAACCTTCTTTGATTAACAGAGCAATTTGTTACATACATATTGTTGTTATGTGCCGTCCATTCAGTTCCAACTCACGGCGACCCTATATAGGTTTTCTGAAGCTGTAAATCTTTGCGGAGTCCTGGTGTGGCACTATGGGTTCATGCACTGGACTGCAAGGTCAGTTTGAACTGCAAGGTCGGTGGTTCAGACCCATAAGCTGCTTCTCTGAAACCCTATACAGTGTTGCTATGAGTTGGAACTGACTGGACAGTACTTAACAACAAAACATTTGTGGAAGCAGAAAGTGTCATCTTTCTCCCATGGTGAGCTCAAACTACCGACCTTATGGTTCACAGTCCAGTGCATATATTACAAAGTAACTGTACTCCCTGTTATATAATTAACAAATCAACTAAACAACTACACAAAGAAATGGAGAGAGATCTTGACAATTAAAACTATAACGCAAACAGTAAGCATGGCTTCCAGGTATCTGAAGATAGGTGTCTCATTGTTTCCCACCCAGTTTTACACCTTGACTCCCCCACGCACACACATCAAAGAATTAACAGAAACCAAGCTGACTTACATTATTCAAAAATACCATCAAG